AGGAGCCTGCTTCTCCCTCTGCCTGTGTCTCTGCCTCTCTCTGTGTCTCTCATGAATAAATAAATAAAATCTTTTTTTTTTTAAAGGGTACAATTTAGCATGAGGGTGGGGGTGGGCTGCAGAACAAGGAGCACTCCGTGTCCCGGGACACGGTGCATTGTGTAGTCTCTTGCATGACAAGGATTTGTCAGGCCAATCCTGAACTTACTTTAAGAACCAAGAGAGGCCCATGTCATGGACCTAAAACAGAAGCACAGAGGTGACTGGGATAAATCATGGGGGTATCAGCCCCAAGGAGAGCAGAGCAAGGTCTTTTCAGAGGCAGCAAGGCTCAGTCTGGCAGGGCAGCACCTGAGGTATCTGCCTTAGCTCCACGCATCTCCCTTCTCTGAGGTGAACTTGCAAACTCTTGTCTCAGTAACTGAGAAACTAATCTCACCCAGGTGTGGGTGGGTGGTTTATTCACATCATCAATCCTTAGTGCCATGTGAAACTCTACAGTAATCTAATAAAACAATTGAGTGAAATACCAAACAGAAAAAGAAATTAATTTCAAAGTTCTCATTTTATATCTCATAAAAGTCAATACAACATCTTCTTCATGCATATTCATTCAGACATCAAATTTCCATTATATTTATAAGAAAAACCATGTAAGAGTAAACTAAGTTCAAATAAAAAATAATTCCCTGGAAGGAGACTCAAAATCCTTCTAACCTAGAAAATGAGTTTACTTTAGACTTATCTGCTTAAACCAAGAGAGATGCTTTTACAATTTGCACAGCACTAATGTGCATTTGACATCTCAGAATGTGAGCTGGTGAGGATAGCACAAATCTGTAATAGCAAGGGCTGGAGTTTCATGGGATAGAATGATTTTACTAGATAAGGCCTTGGAGACATATGAAGCTAACCCTCTCCTTTTCCCACAAGAAGCCTAGAGCATGACCACGCCATGTGTCATGCATCCAGGTAATCCAGTTGGAAATGCAGGGCCTTTATCCCTCTGCCTTACTTCCTGGTCAAGAGGTAAAATGCACAAGCCAGCCAGCTAAACACACCACAACACAGGCAGGTAATACGGTGGCATCCAGCCCATCTTTCAATTTCGGAATTTAAAGACTTACTATTTAAACTCACTTCTCCAGTCTGTTACTATGAACAATAAAGAATCTGTCCCCAAAGTGCGGCAAAAGTGGCCCCTTACCTTGCCTGCTCTATCTCATCCGCGTTAAGGCCATCTTATTCTTGGGCTGACATGTAGACCATTTGGGATACAGCAGTCTAACCAAGGCCAAATAAAACTCTGTCTCCACTTTCAATGGTAAAATATTTTCAAATTAAATTACCAGTAGGAACTAGCATGTTTTATTCCAACTTAAGTGCCTGTGGATCTCAGGGCTCCCTCTGAATAGGATGTTCTGTGGTCTTCCTCAGGGATGGACATCTTCTAAAAGGATTAGGCACCACCTTTTATTTAACTAGTGGCACATCCCTCTGTAGCCATGTAGAGCACTCTGAATGAAGAGAGTGGTTCAGCACAAAGCTGAAAAAATTATTCCCATTTGCCCCTCTGAAATCAATAATTTGGTTTTACATGCAATTTTGATGGAACAAGAAGTATCAAGAAATATCCAGTCACAACATTTGGATTGTTCTCTAGTGGAAAATCTATTCCTAAGTAGTGCTAGGTTTCCCTTTTGCATGTGGGTGCCATGAGGGACCTGGGGGAAGAACAGAGTATCTGGTGCTCAGTAGCACTCTAGACACTGCAGTGATCATCGAAGCCTTGGAGAACACCCATCCCAGCCGAGCAAGAGCTCACCCATCCCTCCACGCTGGAGCTCAGTTCCTGCAAGGAGAAGCCTCATAGGGAACTTGCTGATGAACAACCTGCCCACACTCAGAGCCAGATTAAGCCCATTTTAGCGAAAAACACAGTTGCCTCTCTTCTGTTTTCATTTTCTATGAGAAAAGAAATGTACTGTGAATATACATTTGCTTTATTCCATGAGAGAAACCCCAAGGCCAATAACCCTGGTAAGGCAGGCAAATAAACCCTCTGGGAGGTGCCACAGACACAGAGTCCCAGGGCTTAAGTCAATAGGAGTCAAACCAAAGAGGAAGGAAACTTTGGGAAAACAGAGGGTTGGCGGCATTTCCATTGGTTGTCCTGGCTGGCAGTCATGTCCTCACCAGGACCAGGATGCAGGCCAGCAGCTCATCCTCAAGCCAACACTCTCCCTTCTGCAGTTGGAGAAGGCACCGCATCTTCAGACTAGAATCAACAGCCAACCTTCCAAAGACTGGGGGCCCTTCAAGTTAGAGCAGTCTCAATGCCCCTTTGAGGGAGGCCTGAGTTCTGGAAGCCACAACCTCTGGCTATTCAAGTAATTTGCCCGTCCTTCCTTCAGTTTCCATCATCTGAGTGACAGGCACTTGGAGGTGCGGTGCACAACCCCGCCCCCTCCCCCCCAACTCGGTCATCCCAGATGCTCTCCCAAGGTGGCTCAGGTAGAGAGTGGACTTCCAACTCGCGGTTAGCATGCCCCCTGCTGGCCGTGCGGGAGCTGACTCAGCCTTTAGTCTCCAGACCTAAGACATAAGTAAATGACCTTAGGATCCAAAAGGAACAAATAGAAAAAGCAAGGCAATTTTGGCTTCTTAGAAAAGGAAGACATGATACTCTAAACACACAAACTGGATAAAGAGGCTTTAAAGTGCTTGTTTTTGAAAGGTTTTTAAAGAAATAAGTGATGAATACCTAAAGATTTAGGGGAAACACATTTCTATTTTTACAAGTACTGCAGTGAGTTAAATAAAAAACATATGACGAATATTTTCACAGGTCTACGGGTTAAAAAAAAAAAAGGAAATGTGGCCAGAGTGGTTTTTACAGTCTCAATTTCTGAAAAGGTCATTGCCTGGAGCCTGAAAAAACAATTTTCATACTATTTCACATAGTACTGGGAATACTTCAATTACAGAAAAATCTCTGCCATGACTTAAGAGCTCAGGTTCTAAAGCAACCACACGCAGTGAGACCAAAGTCACCAAAAAGTCATAGAAAATTCTGCTACATGCTTCCTGTCTCATCCAGTCTCTCCGTTGTGAAGACATTTGGCAACTGCAGGAAGTGTGAGGCTGTGTACACACAGCCTGCTTCAGGGGGAGGTGTGCTTCCCCTTTTCTGCAAGGTGAGGACAGATAATCCAGCTTCTTGACAACTCCACCAATATCCTCCACCAGGGCCGAGGGCCCTAGCAGTTACTTCCTATGGGGACACCTGCTGTACCACATCGAGGTTGAGACCCACACCCAGCAAGATTCCACGAAGCAATAGGTTCCATCCATTGTCACCCTGAATATCACCTTAATGTAAACCATTGCTTGACTCCAGTCCAGGGTTTCAAAGCTCCACATTCCTGACCAGACTTAAACTTTTACATGGCATATGGTATTAATTTCTTTACAGACCAAATATGATCACACTAATAATTTAAGGAATGCTTATTTTAAGCAATTAGGGGTAGTCATTAATTATTAAATAGAAAAATGTCAATACTTTTATCCCATTGATTCTTTCGATGTGATAGGCTTAAGTAGGTTTGCAGACTGTCTTGGGAACTTGCTTACTTTTGTTCCCATAATAATCAGTACTAACGGAACACACACACACAATAATGATGGCTTGTTGCTTCCATGGAGGGGGGAAGTTCTTGCAGAACTTGGTGTGCTGTGCAGGTAGATGTCCAGCCTCAGGGTGCTGAATTGGCCTTGAGGATGGTGGGACACACAGCTGCTATAGTAAGAAAAGGAAAGGCAGGGAGGACCCTACAGAAGCTGCCACTCCTCTCCCTAGGGCGGGCTGCTCCCAGACCCATCCTGGAGGGGAGTGCGGATGCTGAAGGAAGGAGACTTACAGATTTTCCTAAAGCAATCAAGGCCTGTAAGAATTTAGGCCACATTGTCCACCTTTTCCCGTGCCACATCACATATAATATCTTAATTTTTTTTTAATCTTGCAGCTCACTCTCATCTCTAAAGACAAGGCAAGGCAATAAGCATGTAAGTGTCATGCATGACCCTTTCCCCTGGATCCTTGTGATGTGGCTGAAGCAATTCCCAGATCCGCTGGGATCTAACAAGTTTCCTTTCAGCTACTCTCAAATCTATTGATTCCCAAGCCAATAAATGAATATAAAAACCGTTTCATTTGTGTAATGCTGTTGAGTTTAGAAACCAGAGGCAAATCCATTTCATTACAAAGATTCTCAAAGGGCTGCAATAGCTGCACCGGGAGGAGGGTACACTTGAGCGGTTGTGTCCAATGAAGGAAAGTTTTTGTTAATGATGACATCACTGACATCTCTCAAATTTAAAGGAGCACTTAAAGCACAACAGATGCAATTTTTCCCATCTAGTGAGAAGCTACTAGGGAAGGCCTCCGGGTTCACAGTCAAATCGCATTAAAGGTTCCCCTGCTGTCCAGCCAGACCCAACGGAGCAAGCGAGCGAGTGGTACGCCGGGCTCCAGGGGCCCACGCAGCCACAGCCTGAGCACCCGGCGAGCGGCCTCACGCGCTGTTCCTGGGCCCCGGCGCGACCCGGAGCCTGCCAGCGCCGCGGGACCCCAGGCGCGCCCCGACGCCCGTCATCACGTTCCAGTGCAGGCAGCTCAAGGGCCCGGAGGAGACGATGGCCCAGACCCGGCCGGGGCGCCGCGCCCTGCCCGGGAGACGCGCGCTGGGCCGGAGCCGGCGGGGTCCACAGCGGAGCCCGCAATGCAGCGCGCCGCGAGCCCTGCGCGGGGCCCGCGACCCCCGCACCCCCTGTGCCTTAGCGCCTGGGCCCCGGGGTCGCCCGGCCTCTGCGCCCCCTGCCTCTCCGCGGAGCACCGAGGGACCCGGCGCCCGCGCTCCGCCAGCCACCTGCCTGGCCCGCGGCCCCGGCCCCGCCACTGCCGCCGGCAGCACCGCGGCCAGCGCCGCCTCCCTCACCTGCCGCGCCGCGCCGCGCCGCGCCGCTCCGCTCCGCCAGCCTCAGCGCCGCAGTCGCCGCTACCCGACTTCCATTTTCTCTCGCTTTAAAGGGAAATCAGATCAGCTGTTTGGCTCGCGCTCCGGCTCCGCGGCGGCCCCCTCCCCGGCTGCCGCTCGCGGTCTCGGGGCCTCTCCTCCCCCGCCTCCTCCCGCGCTCCGCTCCGCCCCTCGCACCCCTCCACTCCGCCCGCGGCCGCGCGCAGCGCCCGCCCCCCGGCTCAGCCCGCAGACGCCCGGCGCGCGCCCTGCCCTGACGTCACCGGCCACAGCCGCGCCCCGCCCCCGCCTCTCGTGGACGAGCGCGCCCCCGCGCCGGCGTCCCCGGAGCGCGCGTCCTCGCTGGTGCGCGAGGGCCGGTGCGGCGCGGGGGGGGGGGGGGGGGGCTCCGCGAGAAGCGCGCTCTCCCCCCGCGCGGGAAAGCTCACCCTGGGGGGTGCCTCCTGGCCCCTGCCGCGGGGACTGCAGGAGAAGCCGCTTGCATCGCCTGCCTTTGCCTTCTCCACCCTCGCCCTTGTGAGTCCACCTTTCTCATTTCTCCCCCCTGCTCACTCTTCCCAAACTTTTTCCCTACCCGTCCTGTCTCCGCTCCGTTTCCAAGCAATTGGGGGCCCCTGCATCACCTTCCTGCGAAGTTGCTCCTTTTGATCCGAGACTGGTGTTCTTACCTTTCCCCGTTTCTTGCCTTCGTCTTAATACCTCATGCCACCGCTTCTAGGGGTTCTGGTCGCTGATACCCAGGCCTGTCCTCTGCTTTCCGTTCACTCTCACATCACCCTTCGGTGTAACCACGCCCCCCCCCCCATTCCAAATAACGTGTTGTGTCACAGGTTAGTTAATACCATCCTCATGCGTTTCTTGACAACTGTTATTTTACTTAGTTTAGGACTTTGTGCTTAGTTTTGCACATTACATATATGTTTAATACTAGTTTAGTGATTTATTTGACTTTTTGAATTGATACACAGTAAAATTGACTTTGAGGGGTTTAAAACACTTGTTTGGATTCCTGTGGCCACCCGCACAGTTAGGATACATCAGCCAAAGAATTATTTCTTGCCCTTTTATAGCCACACCCTCCCTGAACCGTAATACACAACCATTGACGTAGTTTTGCCTACATCCCTGCGGTTTTGCCTTTTTGAGAATTTTATGTTCGCGGAATTATGCCAATATGCAACATTTTGAGTCTGACCTTATTCCTTCACCATTACGCTTTTGGGATTCACCCATGTCGTGTGTATCCATAGTTCTTTTTATTGTTGGACGCTATCCCATTATTGGTACCACATTTTGTTTCTTCAACCACTGAAGAATATTTAAGTGATTTCCAGTTTTTGGCGATTGTGAATAGATACTCTTTAGACACTTGCATGCCGAGTTTTGTGTGGACAAAAGTTTTCAAATTAGTTGGGTAAATACCTTGGAGTGCCAACAGAAACCTCATTTAACATTACAGGAGTCCTACAGCTTTCCAGAGTGTGCACACCATTTTCATAACCACTAGCAATTATGAGTCTCACTTTCCTGTATCCTTGCCAGCACTGGATATTTTATATATATATACATGTATAATTTATACAGCAAACACACACACATGCACATATATGCATATTGGGCATTTTCATAGTTGTGGAGACACATGTCATTGTCGTTCTAATTTTCAATTCCCTACTAAAAGTTATATTGAGCGTCTTTTCGTATGTGTATTTCCTAGCTATATATCTTCTTTGATGAGGAATCTGTTTACATCTTTGCCTATTTTAATTTGGGGTTTTTAATTTTCTTATTATTGAGTTTTAAGAGTTCTTTTTAAAATTTTTTTATTGGAGTTCAATTTGCCAACATAGAGCATAACACCCAGTGCTCATCCCATCAAGTGCCCCCCTCAGTGCCTGTCACCCAGTCACTCCCACCCCCCGCCCACCTCCCTTTCCACCACCGCTTGTCCGTTTCCCAGAGTAAGGAGTCTCTCATGATCTGTCTCCCTCTCTGATGTTTCCCACTCATTTTTTCTCCTTTCCCCTTTATTCCCTTTCACTATTTTTTATATTCCCCAAATGAATGAGTCCATATAATGTTTGTCCTTCTCCGATGACAAATACCCACCATTTGCTTCGACGTGGATGGAACTAGAGGGTATTATCCTGAGAGTTTGAGTTCTTTGTGCATTGTGGATAGAAGTACCTTACCTTACAAGATATGTGTTTTGTAAATATTTTCTCCCAGTGTGAGGCTTGTTTTTCATTCTCTTCATAGTGTCTTTTGCAGAGTAGAAGTTTTTAATTTTAATAAAAGTCTAACTTTTTTCCTTTCAAGAATCGTACTTTTGGTATTATATCTAAAAATACCACCAAATCCAAGGTCACATAGATTTAAGCCTGTTTTCTTCTTCAAATTTTATAGTATTATATTTCACATTTAGGTGTATGCTCTATTTTTACTTAAGTTGTGTGAGGGTATAGGGTCTATGTCAAGACTTTTTTATTTATTTATTTATTTATTTTTTGCGTGTAGATGTTCAGTTGCTTCAGCATCATTTCTTGAGAAAACTATTATTTCCCCCCACTGAATTACCTTTGCTTTGTTGTCAAAGATAGCTAATTGTATTTATGTTGGTATGTTCTGTTGCATTGATACATATGTCTACTCTTTGACCAATAATATCAGAGTGTCTTGATTACTGTAATTTTATAGTAAGTCTTGAAGTTGGGTAGTGTCATTCTTCTGATTTTGTTCTTCTGTACTATATTGGCTATTCTAGCTCTTGCTTTTTCATATAAACTTTAGGATCAATTTGTAGATATCTGAAAATAGCTTGTTCATATTTTAATTGGGATTCCATTGATCTGTGGATCAAGTTTGAAGAATTTATGTCTTAACAAGATTGATATAAAGTATCTATCCATTTATTTAGATCTTCTTTGAATTTTGCAATTCACCTGCATTTCCAGCAATGTTTTATGGTTTTCTGTATAAAAGTTCTATACATGCTTTGAGTTACACGTAAGCATTTTATTTTTTGGAGTTATTGTATATGAAATTGTTTCTTAATTTCTAATTTCAGTTGTTCATTGCTAGACTATAGGAAAGCAGTTGACCTTGTATATTAACCTTGTATCTTGTAACCATGCTATACTTGCCCTAGGAATATTTTTGAGGATTCTTTGCGATTTTCTCCTAATAGTTAGGTGCTGCTGAAGCAAGCGCTCTCATCTATTAATAGAAACAGTTTTATTTCTTCCTTTTTGATATGTATAGATGTTATTGTTTTTTATTGTCCTCTTGAACTAGCCAAGACTTCCAGTATAACGTGGAATAGGACTGATAAAAGAGAACATCCTTGCCTTGTTCCTGATTTTAGGGAGAAGCATCCAGTTTCTCATCATTAAGTATGATATTAGCTATAGGTTTTTTGTGCATATTCTTTAACAAATTGAGGATGTTTTTCTCTATTTCTGGGTTACTGAAAGCTTTCTTCTTTTTAAATGAATGGATGTTGAATTTTGTCAGATGCTTTTTCTGCATCTATTGATATGATCACATGATATTTCTTATTTAGCTTATTGATGTGATGGATTATTTGTTTGATGTTTGACGGTACAGATGGCCAACAGACATATGTAAAAGATGCTCAACATCATTCATCATCATGGAAATACAAATCAAAACCACAACGAGATATCACCTCAGACCTGTCAGAATGGCTAAAATTAACAACACAGGAAACAACAGGTGTTGTCCAGGATGCAGAGAAAGGGGAATCTTCTTATAACCGTTGGTGGGAATGCAAAGTGGTTTAGCCACTCTGATAAACAGTATGGAGATTCCTCAAAAAGTTAAAAATAGAACTAACCTATTATCCAGCAATTGCACTCCTAGATATTACCCAAAGGACACAAAAATACTAATTTAAAGGAGTTACATGCATCCTGATGTTTAGAGCAGCATTATCAACAATAGCCAAATTATGGAAACAGCCCAGCTCAAATGTCCATTGACTAATGGATGGATAAAGAAGATGTGGTGTGTGTGTGTGTGTGTGTGTGTATACATATATCTGTGTTTTTCTTATCTTTTATCATGCTTTGTAAATTTTTATTGAAATCCAGACATATTGTATTGAGAAATGAGAACTGAGGTATATCCTTGACTCTATAATAAGGATTGATATTAATGTGGGTAGGGTTGAGGATTTGTTTTATGGCTGTTGTAGATACCAGAGCCTTCAAATTCTTCTATTATCCTTGTTTTTGTCTTCTCTCTTAACCTTGGGCCTACCTGAGGACTCCTCCTCAGAAAGATAGTCTGTGTTGTGCAGCTTTTTTTATCTGTAATTCACTGTTAGTATCCTGGAACCCTGTCAGTATAGTGGTAAGGTATGGGTGAGGCGGAGTGTTTCATAATCTTCCAATTATATTGAGTCCTTTAGCATACATGTTTCTCTGGCCAATGACCTGGACAAGTGTTTTTTCTTATACGGACTTCCCTTCCCTCATGCCTTAGATGAGACAGGGAGGCTACAGTAGGTGGGTTGAGAGGACTACCTTTTTTATGGTAATGGAACAGGGCCCCAATAAAGTTGGCCTTTTTTATGGAAAAGGCTCTGGTATATTTTTCACAAGGATTAGTCTTCCTTTCCCTGCTAATGCCAAAAAGGACTCTCCCTTGGACCTTCATTGTGAGAACCTGGCAAGGTTTCTAGAGGTAATGTCCACGAAAGTATGGGAGTCCTCCTAAGATTGGGCCCTTAGAAGTTTCTCACTTTCAAACTGGTCCACACTCACTCAGCCTCTTGTAATTTGTCAAAATTACCATTAGGTGTTCCACCAGTGTGTGGTCTCCATAGCTGCTCCAGGTGCGCAAATCTCAGTGTGACTTTCTAGATTGACCAGTCTTTTCAGATTTTCAGGTGGTAGTTTGTCCTGCAACACTAATTTTCTGATGGGTCCAAGAAAAGTCATAGCTTTTCCATTTGTCCAATTCTTATTGTAGAGACAATGATCTGCAAGCTCTTTACACACTAGAGCCCAAATCGGATGTCTCCCTACCATTACGTTTGTAAAATGCATTTTCCTAATGGTTAATGAT